GTCGACCAGCACCCCCAGGTCCTTTTCCGACAGGCAAATGATGCAGAAAGAAAATCTGGAAATGGAAGAGTTGTCATCTTGTTCTAAATGCAAAAGCCCATGTGGCTTCACTGAAAAATGCGGAAAGGTTTGTTTCCGCAGTGCATGAGCTATTTTAACCAGTCGCACAAATTCTAAAGGACTATGCGGGATTATACTGAAAACTGCTGTTGCTTTTGCAGAGGGAAGCACGTGGCATGGAGAACTGCATGTGCGTTTCACGGGAGGGTTTCCATATTCCCTCCTTTTTGGAAGGTGCAATAATTTCAATTTCCCATTTCTACCACAAAAAAACGTTAGTAAAAAGAACTGGGTTTGCAATGATGTTTTAAACACAGGAAAACTGCTACAACTATAAACGTTCCTATTCTTTAAGTATATAAAGAGTGTGCAAAAGGCTGTTATAAAAAATATTTTGTTACAGGTCTTATTTTGAGATAGTCTGATGTTACTCATAAAAATGCTAAATATTATCCGATGACATTAATTTACAGAATACTTCAACCTGTATGCTTACTGAAAGGATTATACTCAGGTAATTATTCCAAAGCCTCATGGGCTTGTGTTGCTTTTGGAATGAATAACGGTCTCAAGTGACGACATCTCAGTTTAGTCAGATACTCATTTCCCTCTGCCACAAAAAGCCCCAAAGCGCTTAACTTGCCTGTGAGCCTTTGAGCGTCTCACGCCCGAGTTCAATACTTATGAATCCCTTCCGTAACAGGCACCAGAGAAGGGTTCTGCATGTCGCTCGGGCTCACGTCATAGCCCAACTTCTTCATATCTTTGGTCACCACGTTGAAGGAAATGGTCACAAAGCCTTGAGATCGCACCCTCGTTACTAGAAGAAAGAAGACGTGAATAAAACCGGTTAAGGGAGGTTTTTGAATAGTTGTTGAACTCCTCGCGTATCCAGGTAGGACTGTTCTCGGCAGGAGCAACCAGTCTTTTTTATCAACAGAAGATGGATGGCCAAGCTGTGGCCTGCTCTCATGCAAGGGTTACAGTCCAGAGGTCCCAGGGACTTACCTTCTCTTCCTTCTCCCTGTGCTACCACTCTGGGGTCAGTAAATTCTGGACGTCTCCCTGTGAACCAGCTTGGAGAAGAAAACAGAAAATAATTAACGGGATACATTCACTAGTGTTTAGATTTGGTACAGTTCATCATAACGCGTGTTAAAAAAACAAAGGGGGGTGTTTAATGAGACTCCCAGCTTTTGTTTGCGTAGGGAGTTTTCAAGACTGATTCCCTTTGTTGCTGATCTACTTTGATCGAAGATAAGTTTTGTCTCTCTAAGGAAAAAAATGAAACCGATTTCATACACGTTATGTCAAATCCAAGTTACTTCTGGGCTAGACAGAATCTCTCTATGGCAAAATGTTTTTGAAACCGATTCAACTCTTGATTACCCAGAGTAACAGAGAGGCTTAGGTACTCTGAATACATCAGAGGTGCACGTAATACAGAAGTATACGAGTTAGAGTGTAGATTCTACAAAAAGGGTACCATAAAGAGAAGAAAAGTAAATCAGTTGAATTTTGACTGTCGGGCACAGAGATTCCCACACTGACTCTGACCCAAAGCGCTCAAGGCTGTCTCTGCGCAAGGGTAGGCTCCGTTGGTACAGGCAATCCACAACCGAACAATCAGCTCACAGATGGTTCAGACTGTACTTAAACAACACCATGGAAGGAAAAAACCTTAATACCCTCGGTTGCTGTGTATAGACTGCTGCTTCGGAAGGGATGTGTGTGTGTAAACGAGACAAAGGTTACAGCAAATGCGTTCCAGATGGAAGAAAAGGTAGAACTGGGAATTGTTTTTCCGTGTTCTGCCTTTGCTTTCCAGGTTGCTCTTAATGTGGCTCTCCTTCCAGAAAAGCCCCTAGCTACAGTAAGATTTAGGGGTGGACTGCAGCACGCCTCCTCAGAGTCCAGCGACAACTAAAATGCTCAGTAAAATTAGTCTAAGTAGCGCCTCTGCAAGTCACATCACTGACACGAATCGACCTGTGGAACACAGAGCTGCCACTCAGTACAAGAACTCGTGTATCAGTCTGCTCTGCTGAAGTGAGTTCTTTTTCAAACCAAGAGTGTTCAAATGTGAGGATGACAAAAAGACGAGTTAGCGTTACTGCAAGCAGGCAGTTAACGTGTTTTAAGAAAGCTCTTCAAAAGACCTAGACACCTAAAAACGTGATTTTACCTACAAACCTCAAAACAGGTTATGATACAAAGTATTCACGTGTACGCTGAATTTACCTTTGTGACTAAGAGCAAGAAGGACTTGCTCTTAAAAAAAAGAAAAGTCTTTAATTGTTACCTTGTAAACTTCTGCAGCCTAGATGTGGACTCTGGAACAAACATAGCGATGGTTCTTGTATGCCTAAAACAAACATGGGACGCACAGAACTTATGAAATGAACCAAACAGCGCTTGGCAAGACTTCTTGTATCTATAAAGGTACCAGAATTTCAGGCACGTCAGACCACTGAACATCTCAAAGTATGCTACTTTCCCTTCCACAAAGAAAGGGTTTGTTTGCATAGGAAGAGCGTATCTTCCTCCATGCCCAGTGCTGGGAATGAAAGCTTAGCATGAGCTGAGAGTGATGGGGGAGAGGTAACGTACTGCGCTTCACACCTGGGCTTTCTACATGCCAGTTTTGACTTTACAGTTGTCTACAGGATTACCAAAAATTATTTGATAACGAGGGGCTGCTGCTAGAAAATCCATGCTCTTTGTACCAAACGGACAAGACACGATAAGGAGATACGGGAACATTTTTGTTTCTGAAACAACATAGTAACTGGAAAAAAAAAATATCTCCGTTTCAGTCCTGAAAGACGGGTTGTCACCTCACCTTCCGGGTGTGAAGGGAACGTGAACAGCTCCATAACCTCTGACCACATCATTTCCAAAAAAGTCGGGTCCGTAGACGCTCACTACAATCTGCGGCCCTGCAATTGAAGCATGTGTGAGAGGGGTGCCTGGTCTGCGAGCTGGATCCCACCGCCCCCAGCACTCACAGCCGGACGGGTTGGTGCTCTTGAAGGTAATGTCGATGGGGAAGTTCCAGACGAGCGTGGTGGGCGCGACGTCGCTCTTGGAGGTGATCTGGGAGATGCCCTCCTCCAGACCCTGTGGGGAAAAAGTGGCATGAGCCAGGGGCCTGCACTAAGCCCGTTAGACGCATGCTGCCGGTGGGCCTGGCGGGCAGGCTGGGTTCCAGGGGTGCGCAATGGGGCCTTACCGCTGTGGGAACCCAGTCTTGGCCGTAGACAAAGCAGAACTTGCAGTAGAGGTCGTCAAATCCGGGGAACTGTGGGAGAGAGAGGCTGTGTTGGCGGGGAATTACCGGGGCCGAGGGCCAGCCCAAGTCACTGGGTCGAGGGCAGCCTGCACCACACCGTGACTACGAGCCAGCCCGTGTTGCTCGGGTCGGGGCTGAGGCCGGGCTGGGTTAGGGGGGGCTGAGGCCCAGCCCGCCCTACTGGCATCTGCGCGGAGACAGGGCTGCGTTAGGGGACCCTGGACCTAAGCAAGGCCGCGTTACCGGGGCCGCGCTGCTGAGGCCCAGGCCGGGCTGTGTCGCGGGGGACCGGGCTTCCCGCCCCTCTGGGGGCCGGCGGGGGCCCCCCACCGCCCCCTGCCAGC